GGGGGGGGGGGATTCGTTTTTCTTTTCGTTATGTTAATGATTGCAAGAGGTCGGAAATCAGGTTGTTTCTAATGATGAAAATACCAATTTCAAGATCAGAACACTTCATAAAACATGCAAGGCATTCCCATTAAAAATGGAAAGACATCCATCTACTGATACAAAAACTATTCGGATATTTTAAAAGAAAATTAATCTTGCAGAATTATACCACTTTCTAGTTTCTATTCACAATAGAAGAGTGAAAAACCAAAATACCAAGACTCATTCTTTAACTTCAAAAGCACATTTTGCATGTCAAAATTTAAACATTTTCTTAAAAGATTAAACCTTTAAGAGAGAAACTAACTCACATCAACCATTTTTTCAACTGCGGATTCCCTGAGAATCTTCATCCAAGGGAACTGTGATGAACTCACTTTCGCAAATGCACGTCCAAAGTAATCCGCAAATCTCATTAGCTGTATATCTTCCTGCTTCTCATACGACGCCTTCAACAAAATTCACAAACAAAAAAATAAATAAAAATAAAGAAGATCAAAAAAGTTTTTTTTTTCCAAAATTTACGAAAACTTACTGATATATCAACGAGAAAAACAACGAGATCAGAGTTATCGATCTTCGCAGCAGCTTCGGCAACTGTAACCTTCGGTTTCTTCGCCTTCTTCGGTTTACTTTTCTTCTCAACGACGGCACCACCACTAACAGCGGCGGCGTTTTCACCGTCACTGCTACCATACTCCTCGCCGTTACCGTTATCAATAACGGCGGTTGAATTTTCAGCTTCGTAGAGCTTCTGAGCCTCAACTATTCGCTTCCGTCTCTCCTCCGCATGTTCCTCGATCGATCGGAAAACATCACCGCCGGAGCTCTCGACGCCGGCGTTCCAGTCATCTTCCGGCTGCTTCTTCAGTGATTGCTTTTTGTTTTTCTTCTGATACGACACCGTTTGCCACCCGTGATCTTCTCCGATATTAACGCCGTTAAGTAGTTTCTCCTCAATTAGAATAGAATCATAATCTTCCATGTTGAAACAGCACAAAAAACAATTGAATTAACAGCAAATAAAACGGAAAATGGAAAGAAATTTTGCGTTATCCTCTCGCTGTCTTGTTTTTTTTTTTTTTTCTTTTGAAAATTTCCCGACGGTGAGAGAGAGATCGCGGGGAAAGTGATCGGAGGAGGTTGGGTTTATATAGGAGTGTTGAATCGGGTCGGGTAAGAAGTGGACAAGAAGAGGGAGTGAGAAAAGAGTTTCCACGTGGATGTATGAAGGCTACTGCTTATTGTCTTTTTTGCCCTTGTGATTTTAATAAATTACGTATATTGTCATTGTATGTCAGGCTGGGATTTAGGCAATGTGGTTTGATCTGCTGTTGTGACACCCATGATAAGCTGTCATCGCAACTAATCCACGCCTTTCAATTCGCAAAATAAAGTAGTGAGGCGTTGATATGGAGTTACGTGAAGATAGATATAGATAATATTAAGAGACGAATTTCATCTTTTCTATTTTTTTCAAAAACGTCTCAAAGAGGTCTGATAAAGAATACAAAAAAGATATTACATCATAAACATGTATTAATGACGAGAAGAGTTAGAACTTTAAAATTTTAATTTTGAATATTCTCGTTATACTCATTGATATATCGTGAAAACCTAACTATTGTGGTCGATCAAGGTGTGTTTGTACACGTAGAAAGATACATCTTAAGGAGTAAAAGATATATACGTACTAGCTAATTTGGTTGTAATTATAATAACTATCTTAAATAAACATTATTATATTGGCCCAATCAGTGACAGAGCCACATTCAACCAAGGAATCGACACTCCTTCGCCAAAAAAAATTACATTGTATTGCTATATAATTTTTTTGTTTTATATATATTTACTATACTTTGACTCCACTGATCTTTTCGATGTATTTAATTTTTTATATTTTGATACCCCTCTTTGTAAACTCTGGCTCCGCCACTGAATACGATAAAATTGTTAGATGAGGAGGTCGTTTGGTAACAAGTTGGATATGATTATGTCGTGAGTTTGTCACTATACCTTTTTAGGGCCGTTGTGTAATATATTTAAGACAATATCCATATTGGACTCATTCTCGAGGCTTGGGGCCGGCCCATATTTCTTTTACAACTTTGACAGCGGTAAGTTCTATATAAAGACACTTATATTTACAGAAAACAAATATGTTCATTGAGTTCTCTTCTCGAATTTCTTTCAAAACAAGAGATGGAGAAATAATGATTGTCGGACGCGCTACAATCCTACTTTTTTCCTATTTGATGCTTCTGTTCTTGCCTCCTTCGCCTCCCCGTCATTTGTTTCTCGATATATTTTTGTAACGGATGGATATCTTATGTTAAATCTTCAATCAAATGAGCGTTTTGTCGATAGTTAATACCATATGCTTCTATAGATTCAATTGATTTTGTTTCTTTCAAGTACGGTCACAGCAGATCGAATGCCCCTTCCTTCGAACTTTTACATCTTCACCCGTTAAAGGTATGAAACATCCTTATTCTGCTTTATTTTACTGTATATGAGATATTCAATCAACACAGAAAGTCTACGAGAAGATACTTTGAACACAATATTTGTAAAATTATTTTTTAAAAGAAATTCTAATTTTAGTTAAATGCATCTTATAAACTATTTAACTAGAAAAAAGAAGATACAAATATGCTTAGTCAATGGTTTTTGATTAGAGTCTTATTAAATCCAATAATGTCGCAATTTTTTAATTAATCCACAAGCACCATACACTGCACGGTTTCAAACACAGCGTAGCATAGCTCCACTTCCACTCCATGTTCTATACTTAAAAATAATTAAAAGTTATTACAAGCAAGTCAAAGGAGATCCATGGCATTTTTGCAAATAAACGTACATTATAGGGACAAAATTGGAAGAACAAAAAGTGCGATATTTGCAAAGACTTTTTATCCCATCCTTGTGGGGCCCTAGCAGTGGGTAGTAGTTTTGAGATAAATTTGAAATTAATGTTTGGTGAGGATATTTTCGTAAATTTATAACAAATTCATTAAATCTCTTAATATTGGCAGTTTGTTAGAATTTAAAATATTGAAATGAAAAACCTACTATACTATTTTAGGGAAAAGAGTAATTAATATTGATTGCCTAAATCTCTATATAGGGAAGAACTAGTATCAAGACCTGGTGCGTGGTCAACATTAAGAAAAAATAATATCTATGAAATATTAAAAGTACAATTAATATAATAAAATACTAAGTTTCTAACTCATCAATAATGTATAATTAATTACAATTTTATAATGTCAATATTGATACTTAGTTGGCGTTTGGACATAAGAATTGTAAAATTCGGAAGAAAAAAAAACAATTGAAAATGGTAATTGAAAATTAGAGTTGTATGGACATGAATATAATTTTGAGTTGTTTTTGAATTTTGTGCGTGGTCTGAGTGAAAATTTTAAAAAATAACTTTTTGGAGTTTTTCAAATTTTTGAAAAATTTCAAAATTTATCTTCAAGTGAAAATTGAAAATTTTATGGACAAACGCTGATTTCGAAAAAAGTGAGAAAAAAAATTCATGACCAAACGGGCTGTTAATATCCTATCACAATTGCAATTATTTTAGATTTTTTGATATGAAAAAACATACTATTTTATCACATCGCATTGACATATTAAAAACTAAAATTATAACATTAAAAAATACAACATTGATGAGGAGAATTTGGTAATCTTATCACATATTCACCTAATTCTCATATTGGCAGTTTGTTAGAATTTGAAAAATTGAAACAAAAAGCCTACTCCATTTAAGGGCAAAAAGTAATTAATATTGATTGCCTATATCTATATAGAGGGAAAATTTAGTTTTTCTATTTGATGTGGGCATGACATCATCATTGTTTAGCAAAATAAAGAAGTGGTCCTTTTGTATCAAAGGAAAAGTGATGAATTTTTCCCAAATATTATGGTTCTCTTAAGGGGGAAAAAATTGATGTTTGTCTAATATATATTACTCTAACACAGGAAAAAGAACAAATTTGGAATGAATGCAAATTGAATGCTACAATTGCATTATTTAGTACTAATATAATTAGATTTAGACAAATTTTTTTAAATAGTGGTGTTCGTACAAACTTGACTGCACCTCGACTTTACTATCGGATGCTTGCTTCATTTCACTAGCACAAGTGCTAAATAGCTAACACATGTTTATTAGTATATTTTACTACTGTACCATGATAAAAAAAAATTTCTTCTTAAATCTTATATTTCGGTATTACTTAATTAAGCTCGATGAAAAGTTGTAAATAATTTAACTTCATGTTAGAATAAATTCACTAAAATTTCATATTGGTATTTTTGAGATAATTCTGAACTTAATGTTTGGGTGAAGAGATATTCGTAATCCTATTCAGTAAAATCTCATATTGCTAGTTTGTTAGGCTCCGTTTGGTCATGAGTTTTCCCAAAATAAATTTGGGATATATTTTCAAAACTCATGTTTGGCCATAAATTTTGCTCATATTTTGGCCAAATCCCAAATTTCAAATCCCAAAATCAGCTATTGAGCTAATTTTGGGCCAAAATCCCAAAACTTGGGAATTATATACATGTTTTTCCAAAATAAAGTTGAAAAATATGTTTTGAAAACGTATGTCCAAACACATTTTCATCTTCAAACCAAACTTCATCCAAATCAGATTTTTCAAAATAAATTTGGAATCTATGGCCAAACGTTAGCTTAAAATTTTGAAATTTGAAATAAACAGCCTACTAGTAACAGCAAAGAGTAATTAATATTGATTACTTAACTCCTAAAAAGGGAATTTGTTTTTTCTATTTGACGTAGACATGCATCATAACTGTTTAGGAATATAAAGAAGTGGTATTTGACCCAAAAAAGAAAAGGTGGTCCTTTTGTAACAAAGGGGAAATCCATGAGTTTTGCCAAATTTTTGTTAATATATTTTTATTTAACGAACTTTCTTTTTTCAAGAAAAAGGAAAAAATGAAATTTGTCTTGTATACATTAATCTAACACTTGAATTTGGACAATCTTGGAAAGAACAAAGAGTAACACATTTTAAAATACTTTAGTTATAAGATATATATCTCATATCCAAATAAATAGATAACAAAAAAGGAAAAAGAAATATAATTAAGCAAGTGATTATAACTAAATCTATCAAATTCTTTTTACTACATATTCCTTTCCAACGCTGGTGTGATATATTCTAGTTACTGAGTTAGTATCAATAATTTGATTTTGAATAAAGATTTCTGTTTTTGGTAACAATCTTTTGGTGAGTAATTCATTTTCATTTCCATTTACGTCTAATTTGACAAATTAAAAGTATTTTATACTGCAATGGACAGTGTAGATAAAAATGGGTAGTGCAGAAGATGTTTGAAATAACTTTAGTAGGCAATTTCAAAATCTTCAAACTTTTGAAGGAAAAAAATTGTCTGTAAAAATTACTAAAAGCTACCATAGTGGCTAGAATAATAATTTAAGAACATTACTACTATCAAACATAAGCCTTACTTATAATTAATTTCAAATCTGACACACTTCTTTGCCTAAGATCACAATTTAATATTGTATTATTTTCTTTACTAAATAATAACTACACTTCAATCCCAATTAATTTGGGATCTGCTATATGCGTACTCACTGTTCATGTCACTTCATTCAAACTCTTTTCAATCAAATATGAATGAAATAAAATTTATTAGACGTTCTTCATATTGTTCGTCGATATATAAATTTTTGACAAGATTAGAAGACTTTTAAAGAGTATTAGACCTATAATAAATGTATTAACATAACTAAAAACTTAATTTAACTAATTGGACGTTTATAACATATAAAAATCTTTTGTTTTCCGTTGTTCCATAATTATATAGATTTCAAGAGATTGTACGTAGGTATATGAGATAATTTCTATGTGGTTTTAGGTCCACTTCGTCACCCTTTTAATATTTTACTTGCATAGTTTTATACCTATAGACAAGTGGATTTAGAAGCTGCACACTAAGACACGATCAAATTATTTTAAACGACCTTTTCTCATTTTATCTTTCATATATATTACTTGTATTTTCTGTGAAGCTATCACTTTAAATCTTGTTTTATCTGCTAACATTTAAAATTCATATATGACATATGAAATGTGATAGTTAAATAGATAACCACACTCGTAATGAATCCATATCACCAAATTCTTCAATACCAACTTCAATCAAAACGCAACATCATTTTGTTTACAAGTTCAATCATTTTCCATGTTCTAAAAATCATTTAGTGTCACATAACACGTGATGAATAGCAACACATAAAAGAAATGAATTAAAAACGAAACACCTTACAGCTTGTTTGGATGGTCGTTCTCCGTTGTATCGTATTAATTGTATTGTTATCCCAAAATAATGTTTCTTTTGATTGTTTCATTAAAATTAGTTGTATTGTATTGTTAAATTCATTGTTCCGGAAAAATGAAAAGTCCCCTTTTCTGAAACAATCGATTTGGTGTGGTAGGATTGTTTCCTATTTTTCTTTCCAATTATGCCCTAACTTATTATTTCACAATTCTATTTTACCCTTTACCTTTTTTTCTATTTTAACTCCAAATCTCCAACCTATAATCTACTTTGTTTTTTTCCAAAACTTCTGCCGCCAACGTTAAAGGTGTTTTACCGCCTTCTGTTTTATTTTTTCTCCTAATTTGCTTTTAACTCAATTCTAATTAGCTGTGCTCCTTTGTTTTGCCTACTTTTGTCTCGCTCATTTGCTCTGCTTTCTTAAGGTGTTTTGCCTTCTTCTGTTTTGTTTTTTTTTAATTATTTAATTTTTGATAAATTAAATATATAAACAATTGAGGGTATTTTAGTAAATTTATCAATTACAGTACAGTACGATACAGTCAAACCAAACAGTAAAATATTATTTAACAATAACAAACAGTACAGTCTATCCAAACATTGTATTCATAAAACGATACGATACAATACAATACATTATAAAATGATGGGTAACAATGATCCAAACATAATGTTAACTAGTTTCACTAATTTAACCTCTTGACTTTAATAAATGTAGTACTACATGCTTTTATACACTTTTAATCCAATTCCAAAACTAGTTTAGTGTCTTCTAAAAGTAATTATTTGCCATTGGATATGAGGTTGAGGCTAGAAGCTTTTTGTTGGGTTAAGTAATTTTAGTCTATGGGTATTGGACTTAGAGAATATTGTGTATTTTATTTTTGGACCTAATTAGAAATAATTAAGAAGAGGGTTCGCTTTCTTTCTCTAATATACTATTGGATGTGGATGTGATAATCATGCGTAAATGGCGTACTACTATTTTGGACCATATGAGCGCGCACAATTTTAGAGTGGTCAATCACTCAATCCTCTTACTGTATTATTAGATCATAGAATATAGACGAAATTTTAGTGAAAACTTTATTAATAACATGAGACCATATGGAAAAATATATTATGCTGGAGTTCCAGCATAAGTATACTTGAACTCCAGCATATTATACTGGAGTTCCAGCATAAGTACACTAGAACTCCAGCATAATATACTGGAGTTCCAGCAAGTATATTGGTCCAGAATAATATACTGGATTTGGGAGCAGCGGTGCTCCAGTCTCCAGTATATTATACTGGAGCCAGCAAAGTATACCGGTCCAGCATAATATGCTGGAGTTCATACACAAGTGCACCGAACTCCAGTATATTATGCTGGACCGGTCTCTATTGCAGCAANAGTAAATACGTGAAGAAATTAAGAAAATTCAATATCTAATATATATATATATATATATATATATATATATATATATAGACACAGTGTAATTTTCGACGAAGAAAGTTCGACTAAAACCCCCTTCTACCCACCTAGCTCCACCCCTGACTGAAGATGGTCCTAATATGATACCTCGTTAAATTATAGTTAATAAAAAAATTTATTGTTGAAGGTACTAAATACTTATGTTGTTCGAATTCAGAAATGTATTCGTATTCTTGAATTCTTTAAATATACATTAAAAATGAATAACTTTTAAAAAATGGATATACACTTTAGCGATATTTTTTTTGGGATTGTTACACAAATAACTGACCATATTCAATATTTACTTTTTTTAGCCATTATATATAGATTATACATTTTTTTTGGTCAAATAGCAAAAGATTTTATTCAACCAGTAAAGATAATTACAGCTCCTCTAGCTCCTTTGGACTAAAGAGCTAGACTCAAGAACAATAACCAAAACTGTTATTTACATTTCAATAGTCCCTCTACTACTTATGCTATTGAGTACCAACTATTCATAGAGGAAAACTATTTACACATTCTAATATCTTCTTCCATTTAGCCTTCTGTTGTCCTTTGATATGTAGCTGAAGGACAATATCTCGAATTCTCTTTTTGGTATCGGACTTTTGCCCCTGAAATTTACGCATATTTCTCTCTATCCATGTATGATAAACCACAGCTGCAAACAGGAATGCCAATATGCTATTTCGAGGCCTGCCATTTTTTGTTCTTGTCCTCAGCCATAAAACTTCCTCTTCCCAAAGTCCAACTGGATGTGTCTCTCTCAACCAATTGAGCATTGTACTCCAGATGGTCCTTGAGTACTGACATTCAAAAAAGAGATGGGCCATTATTTCTGTTTTTCCACTGTTGCACAATAAACATTCACTTGCTACCTGTACCCCTCCCCCTCCCCCCCCCCCCCCCAAACTGTCGGTCTATCAACAGTGGTAAATCTGTGATGAAGTGCTAGTCATAGAATGAAGTTATGCCTAGGTATAGTATTTGAACCCAGCATTAAAGCTTTCCAATGAACCTTTGAGTATTGAGGCCTCGCTAATGCGTATGTCTTCTTGATATTGAATTGCCCCAGTCTGCAATAATTGTTGATGTTGGCAAAAGAGTCTATGCCCAAGTACCATTCTCTTGTATCAAACACTTTCCTTATAAGCCAGCATGCTTGTCTAGGAGTGTTTATTTCAGTGAAGTCTTTCTTCTTTATAGAAACATTGTGAATCCATTTTATCCAAAGTGCATCTTTCTTCGTATGTATAGCCCACATTAGTTTACAAAGAGCTGCTTTATTCCACCATAAGAAGTTGATGACGTTTAGTCCACCAGCTGAAGTAGGCATACATATTTTGTCCCAGGAAATCAGTGCCCTCTTTGAGGGGTTTTGGCTGCCAGTCCATAAGAATATCCAACACGCAGTAGTCACTAGTTGGATGATCTGTTTTTGCATCAGAAATACCTGCCCCTAGTATGTTTGCATTTCAAATAAGACACTTTTTATCAGTTGTAGTCTTCCACAATAAGAAAGAAACTTTGATGTTCAGCACTTGATTCTGTTGGTTATCTTCTCCGCTAATGGCATGCATTGCTGGATTGTCAGCTTTGTTGATGATAGAGGCACCCCCAAGTATTTGAATGGTAGGTCTTCTATTTTGAACTGGTAATCTACTGTGATCATATCTTTGAATCCCTGAGATACTCCTGCACGCAGATAGAACTCTTGTCCAAATTTGCCATAAGCCCAGACACCTTCGAGAAATGGTTAAGCTTATCAAGCAATAGTTGAATGGAAATCTTGTCAGCTCTGCAGCACATTATCAAATCATCTAGGGTGGAAGTTGAATTCAGGTTTAGCTTTGCACATCTTGGGTGGAAGTTGAATTCAGGTATATCCTTAAGAGTCTTTAATGTTCTATTCAAATACTCCATTACTAGTACCAACAGATAAGGGGACATTGGTTCCCTTTGTCGCAGTCCCTTCCTGGCTTGAAATCTACTAGTGAGTCCACCATTGATCAGCAGAGAATAGCTCACTGTAGTTACATATTCCATTATCCACTGAACCATTTTGCTAGGTATCCCATATTCCAGTACGACCATACGTAGGAATGGCTGAATCATATGCCTTTCTTATGTCCACTTTTATGATGCACCTAGGCGAGACTCCTTTTTTATTATATCCCTTTACCAGCTCATGGGCAACAATCACATTATCAATATGCTTCGCCCTTCTATGAATGATGATTGTGCTGGCCCTACTATGAGGTCCACCACTGTCTTTAACCTTGTTGTAGAGATCTTGGCAATGAGCTTGTATAGGGTGGTACAACATGCTATTGGTCGAAATTCTTTTACAAAAGAGGGACTTGAAACCTTTGGCACCAATATAACAGTAGTACTATTGACATTCTTCAGAAGTTTCCCTGTTTCAAAGAATTCCTTTACAGCCTGCATAGTTTCTTCTCCAACAATGTCCCAACATTTCTTGAATAACTCAGATGGAAAACCATCTATGCCAGGAGCTTTGTCACTTGGCATATCTCTAAGTCCCTGTTTATTTCTTCCTCTGATATAGCCTTAGTAAGTATCTGTTGTTGTTCTCTATTCAAGCATGGTCCATTTCTGGCTATTGTAACATCAAGGCAAGGTATTTTAGTAGCATTTGTTCCTAGCAAGTTTTTGAAGAATGAAATGAACTTTTGTTCTAGCAAGGGAGGATCAGTCAGTTTTTGACCAAGTTCATTACAAATGGTAGACACTCTATTTCTAGCCTGTCTTGCTTTCAGTTGTGCATAGAAAAACTTTGTGTCGGAATCCCCTGCTGATATCCAAATTGCCTTGATTTCTGTCTATACACCTTCTCTTGGATGCTTTCCCATTTCTCTATTTGCATTAATATCTCTTTCTCCTCCTGTATCAACTGATTGTTGAATAGGTCAGCATCAATCTCACTTTGTACCCTCTGCAACCTCCCCTTGAGTTTGTTTATCTTTTTTTTCCACTGAGTTATAAGCTTTGTTCATCCCTTTTGCTTTGCTTCCTAGGTCATGTAATTTCTTCCAAACTAAATACATAGTTTAACCAGGGATAGATTGATTCCACACCTCTTGAACCATTTGGTTGAATTCTTCATCTTGTAGGAGAACATTCAATAGTCTAAAAGGTTTTGGCAAACAATTACTAGTAACCTCAGTACACAATATTATGGGGGAATGATCAGATACCCCATAGTTTTCATACACTGCCTCTATACTGCTATATTTCATGAACCAATGATAGTTTCCCAAGGACCAATCTATGTTACTGTAAATTTTGTCTGCAGCCTCCCTTTTGTTGCACCACGACCATTGGCAGCCTTTTCTATTCAACTGTCCTAGCCCAGCATCAGCAATACATTTTTGGAAATCTTCCACCTTAGTTTGACTAACGGGATTGCCATTGATTCTATCAGTGACAGAGATCATGGTGTTAAAATCTCCTAAAACAAGCCAAGCCTCCACCATAGTACTATGTATTTATCTTAGCTGTGTCCACATTTCCTGTCTCTCCACTATTGTGTTATACCCATACACAAATGTTAAGCAACAGGTAAGATCAGAGTGTTTATCCCTGACTTCACAGTGCACCAACTGAGCTCCTGCAATTATTATGTTGACTTCTACATGCTGAGTCTTCCACATTATCCATATTCTTCCATTAGGAGCCTGTGTATAATTTGCAAACACTTTCCAATCATTTCCCACTTTCCTTCTAACTCTTTTTTCATTCCAGGTTTTTACTTTTGTCTCAAGGCACCCTAGAACTGTTACTTTATTTTTAAGCAAAAAAGCCTTGAGTTCTTTCTGCTTGTAGGGATTGTTAAGCCCTCTAATGTTCCATGAGCTAATAATCATAGAGGTTGAGCAAGGGGTACTCTTCCCTTCTTAGATGCCTGACTAGCATCCTCCTTTTCATGAATTCTCAGTGCACTAAATCTGTTTTGGTGCAGCATAGCTTCAATATTTGCATCAGAAAAACCATCCCTTAGTGATGTTCTCACCTTAGGACTTTGCACCTGCTTCCCTTTTGTTTTGGCCAACTGGAATTCAGCATTTTCATTTTGTATAGTCCCTTCAGAATCCTCTTCTTGCCTTGTCACTGCTATTGTAGTTGCTTTGTTAGTACTAGGTTCAGCTCTTGCTTCCTTCCCTTGAGTTTTCTTGGCTGCATTTGGCTTTACGACCCACTTAGTGACTTGTTTCCTTCCTCTTTTGTGTTGTTCTCCTTGTTGCTTTTTAGTCTCTGCCTGACCTTTTGGAGCAAGGTCAGTTTTTTGTATCATTTCTGCTTGTGCACTGCATTCCCCTGTACGATGCCCTATTTGAAGGCAGTCTTGACAGAGAAAGATGGTTTCCAATCATAGCTCAATGTCTGCTCCCTATGTTTGCCATCAGCAGTTTCAATCAGCACTGTCTCGGGCAATGGTTGAGACACATCCATTTCGATCAACATGCGTGCATAAGATATCCGTGTTTCTTGGGCTGTTAGTTTATCTATGTAGATTGGTTTCCCTATAGAGCTTGCTATTCTTCCCAGATTTTCCACCGTCTAGTATTGTATAGGCAACCCAGGGAAATTAACCCAAATTGGGATATTGTTCTGTAGCTTCCTTGCTCATTTGGAAATCTAGCTCCCATTGCTTCAATATCATTGGCCTATTCTTGAAAGTGTATGGTCCATTTCGAAGCACTAGATCTCTATCTTCATCAGAATCGAATTTAAAGATAAAGTAACCTTCGTCGTGGAGTAATACATGTGGTGTCGATACAAATTGCCACACACCATATACAAATTTCAGCATCTCCTTGAATAGAGGGGATCCACCTATTACATAGCCAATTAGGCTTGTCCTCCATTTCCTATTTTGCTCCTCAACCTCTGTGTAGTTCAGTCTAACTATTTTTATTCCGTCCTTAATGATAGGAGGATAATAGTTCAACTTCAAGCCTGACTGTAATGACCTATTACCTTGGACAACGTCAGTTAGGGTTGGTTGTGGTGCCCCTAATCCCGCCGAGAATGTTAATTTTCTCGTTGTTATAGCCGTAACTGTCTCATTTTGTACTGGATTTGTAGGGGTTTTTACCATCAGAGCTTGAAATTCCACCGGTGCCGTTGATTCCTTCCTCACCTGGCCATGTAAGATAGTTGGAGCACTACCCATTCCTTTCATCCAATGGAACAATTGGACAGACCCTAGGTTTTGGGGGATTCCCGTTTCCGGGGTAACAAGCCTGTTATCATCTTCATCTGCCTTATCTTCTTCATCCGTTTTTTTTTGTCGTAGCTATGGAGTTCCTCTTCTTCTGACGAGCCATATCTGCCAGTGTATGTTATCGATCCTTGCTTAACATGCGCCGAGAGCGTTTTCAGTCTCTGATTTAAAATCCCCTATTTCAAAGCTCTATTCGCTGTGATTATACATTAATTATACATAATTTGACATATATTATATATCTGCTGACTATATTTAGTTTAAGAGATTAGGTGAGCGGCTATTTGAATTAATTTTCCTATTTTTAAAGAATAATTGTATTGGAAAAATAGAAGAACTCATAACCGCATCCACAAGGCTACAACATGATGTGATACAAAAGTTGGTAAAGGGTCTATAATATAAAGTGAACAAAAGTAATGATGACATGAAGTCAGGCCCTTTGGATTTTTGATCTATTCTGCATTTTCCACAAAATTTTCATAGAATACCAGGGAATCAAAAACTGAAAGTGCTTAATAAAGTGTATAGAAAAAAAAAGTCCTGGTTAAATAATACTTTTATTGGAAAAAAACAAACAAGTCTCGGTTAAAAGATACTTTTTCTTTCCAATAAGGTCGTGATACCTAGTAACAGAAAGTGATGCACTGACTATATTTTGCCAAAAGTTTTTGGATCGTAGGCTTTTTTTCTGTTTCATTTCGTCTTTATCCTCAACAGAATTTAGATACAGTCATTTAATAATTAAAGAAAACGACCCACGTCTTTATTTTCGAAATAATTTTTCGTATTTATTACAATCCGAGGACAGGGAAAGATGGAAAAAAGGGGAAATGGAACAATAATAAACGAATTTACTCGTGTGAGAAGCTCGTCTGAAAACAAAAGAAAAGTTCATTAAGCAAGCAAAAATAAATAGATCCGCATCTGCTATTGACTTGTTCGATTTGAGGTTTGTCGAAGATACTTCCTCCGGTCCAAAATAAGTGATTTTTTGTATGTTTTCATACAAATTAAGAAATTCACCTTTTAGCATTAATTAGCAATGAAATTGACCATATTAACCTTTACTATCTCACATAAACACTCCTAACACATATTCCAACACCATTTACTTCAAGGACAATGTAGGAAAAAAATAATTAATTCGTTCTTGAAATCTGGAAAAATCACTTATTTTGGACCACAAAAAAAGGCCAAAAAATCACTTATTTTGGACCGGAGGAAATAAGTATCAAGTCCTCTATGATTGAACTAGACTAAATTTTGAGGACGAGTAGTGGCTAAAATATTATGCCGAGGTATTTTACAAGCAATTGTCAGACATATTTGAAGTTAGAATACAATTTTCTTTATTTATAATTTATCGATAGTATTCCAATTTATCTATGTTAAGAAATTAATTGAAATAATTTTTTCTATTCTTCGGGTGCGCAAAGGATAAATCATGCTCCTATGTAATTGCCCATTATTACTTTTAGCTCACGCCAGAAACTAATTACATTTGGTAGCCGAAAAAGTGTATAAAACTTGTATAATTTTTGTATATAACATGTATAATGTATATATACACAGAAACTATACAAATTATATATAATTTTTCAGCTATTATTTTACAGCGGCTATACAGTGTCATTTTATTCTTCAATAGCTAATTTAGGGACACCGGATAGTGATTTCTTATCAATTATAATGGTCCTTTTGACTATGGCAATTAAATTTGAGTGTGAAAAGAGAGACAGTTGTAATGGTTAAATGACTGTTACAACATGATATTTTATCAAGAATAGAAAAGATGGTATAGAATAGAATG